TGACATCAATTGGCGGAGCATCATTACCACTACCCAAAACACCAAACGACTTTAGAGATTTCCACAGCTGATTATTATTTATACGAAATTGATTATTATTATTTAAACAAATCATTATAGTATTTACGCCTCTCATTCCTCATCACAGCCTTACAACGATTCCTATACATACAATATATTATACTCTTACCCTCCGTAGGTCGCTTGCGCCATTTAAAGTACACAAGATCTCTAAACATCCGTGCCGATTTCACCACATCAGATTCCAACCATGCATCATTCCTGGGGTTGACCTTACGAACAGAAACAGGAACGAAAGACAATCTAAAAATACAGTCAGGTTAAGCAAACCAAAAACAAAGGCAAGGTGTGATATACCAGGACGAGAAACCCAACGACAAATTATCACTAATAAGGCAAAAATCAATTAACGAGGTAGAGTTATGGGCCAAATCATAATGGGTAGGTTTCATGTTATGCACAATAGTTAGCCCCAATGATCTGCATAATCCTCTCATCAAAACAGAGTTCGAAGACACAAATAAATTACAGTTAAAATCACCAAGGACAATTATATTAGAGAAGCGACCAATCAAACTCTCATGTACATCACAGAAAGACTGGACATCGCCATGGGGAAAATATACTACCTCCACAAGCAAAACCAATACCCCAGTATTCAACTCAACACACACCGACTCACAAACACCAAAATTATTTGAACGAAAAACTACCTTGAAAAAAAATTGCAAAACATAAAAAATATTTACAAAGCCTTAATAAATTACTTCAACATTTAAATGTATAATAATCTAAGAAAATTGTATTTCCTTAATTTAAAAGCACCTCTATAGAATAAGAAAGCTTGAATTTAATACAATAGTAAATTTGCATTTGTTAAACAACGCGTGGTTTTATTTCTATATAAATCTATCTGTTTTCAGCGATGGATTTCGCCGCATGTTTGAAAACTTTGCAGCGACAAATGGAAGTTAACGATTTGTTTGTTAATGATATATAACGATACTGCATTGTTTTATTCAATGTTGATTTCTATTACCAGCAATGGACTTTTAAATACATTTTTCTTGGGCTGGGGGGCCTTATATATATATATATATATATATATATATATATATATATATATATATATATATATATATATATATATATATATATATATATATATATACATACATATATATATATAAAAGAGGAAAATGTTTGTATGTTTGTTTGTTTGTAATTTATGGACTCGAAAACCGCTGAATAGATTTTCCTGCAAAATTTCCATATATACTGCAACATCGCCTGAAAGTAACATAGGCTATATACATTTTTGAATTTCCACTTGGAACTGGAGATATAGCACCAGAATCGGAGGTACCTCCCAAAAATTTAGATTTTATATGCACATATCTATTGATTGGTTGAAGATACAGCCTCCAAATTTGGAATACGTAACGGAATTTGGAACAAAAATAAGTTTGCCAAATTATATTGTAATCGGTTCAGATTTGGATATAGCTCCCATATATATTTTCGACCGATTTCGTTCATTTGATGCCTCAAACACAATATGAATGTTCGATTCCAATGAAATTTGGAATGTGTGACGGGATTTAATCCGAAAATAAATTTGTCAAATTATATTGAAATCGGTTCAGATTTGGATATAGCTCCCATATATATTTTCGGCCGATTTCAAGCATTTGATGCACCAAACACGCTATGTATCCCCAATTTCAATGAAATTTGAAACGTGTGATAGATTTTATCTAAAAAATTGATTTCCCAAATTATATTGAAATCGGTTCAGATTTGGATATAGCTCCCATATACATTTTCGGCCGATTTCATGTATTTGGTGGACCAAACACGACATGTATTTCCACTTGTAATGAAATTTAAAATAAGTAACGGAATTGGGAGCCAAAATGAATTTGTCAAATTAAATTGAAATCGGTTCAGATTTGGATATAGCTCCCATATATATTTTCGACCGATTTCATGTATTTGATGCACCAAACACGCTATGTATCTCTAATTTCAATGAAAATTAAAACAAATATACATTTGTCAAATTATATTAAAATCGGTTCAGATTTGGATATAGCTCTCATATATATTTTCGACCGATTTCATATATTTTATGCACCATACACGACATGTATTCCAAAGAAATTTGGAATATGTAACGGGATTTTGATTAGAAAATAAATTAGTCAAATTATATTAAAATCAGTTCAGATTTGGATATAGCTCCCATATATATTTTCCGCCGATTTCACATATTTGATGCACAAAACACGATACGTATTTCCGATTCCAACGAAATTCGGCATGAGTGGCTAAATTAGGTACAAAAATAAATTTGACAAATTATATTCAAATACGCTCAGATGTGATTATAGCTCCCATATATACTCAGCCGATTTCACATATTTGATGCACCCAAAGCGAGAGGGACAAAATCTGGCACCAGCAAAAATTGCCAAATTATATTGAAATCAGTAGAGGTTTGGATATAGCTAACATATATATTTCGGCCGATTTCATACATGTTATGCACCAAACATGATATATATGACCGATTCCAATGAAATTCAGAATGTGTGGCGGAATTTGGTTATAATAATAAATGTGATAAATTAATTGGAAATAAGTTAAGATTTGGATATAGCTCCCATATATATATATATATATATATATTCTCGGCCGATTTCACATATTTGACGCACCAATTTCAATGAAATATGAAAGGTGTGGCGGAGTTTGGTGTAAAAGTAATTTTTTTTAAAATTATATTTAAATCGGATCAGATTGGGATATGATTTAATGAGAACCATTGACCCACAACGCCTTAGGCTAACACTAAAAAACAACACATGAAGGGTTTGTCCCTTGGATTTATTTATTTCATAGCAAATACCAAGCGTGCAGGAAACTGCAATTTTTTTAAGTAGAGTGGCATTTCTATTGCAATTAGTGAATTCGAGATAGCAACATACTTCGCCGTAATAAGCATATTTCAAATAAATTGTTGTGTTGTTTTTTAGTGTTAGCCTAAGGCGTTGTGGGTCAATGGTTCTCATTAAATCATATCCCAATCTGATCCGATTTAAATATAATTTTAAAAAAAATTACTTTTACACCAAACTCCGCCACACCTTTCATATTTCATTGAAATTGGTGCGTCAAATATGTGAAATCGGCCGAGAATATATATATATATATATATATATATATGGGAGCTATATCCAAATCTTAACTTATTTCCAATTAATTTATCACATTTATTATTATAACCAAATTCCGCCACACATTCTGAATTTCATTGGAATCGGTCATATATATCATGTTTGGTGCATAACATGTATGAAATCGGCCGAAATATATATGTTAGCTATATCCAAACCTCTACTGATTTCAATATAATTTGGCAATTTTTGCTGGTGCCAGATTTTGTCCCTCTCGCTTTGGGTGCATCAAATATGTGAAATCGGCTGAGTATATATATGGGAGCTATAATCACATCTGAGCGTATTTGAATATAATTTGTCAAATTTATTTTTGTACCTAATTTAGCCACTCATGCCGAATTTCGTTGGAATCGGAAATACGTATCGTGTTTTGTGCATCAAATATGTGAAATCGGCGGAAAATATATATGGGAGCTATATCCAAATCTGAACTGATTTTAATATAATTTGACTAATTTATTTTCTAATCAAAATCCCGTTACATATTCCAAATTTCTTTGGAATACATGTCGTGTATGGTGCATAAAATATATGAAATCGGTCGAAAATATATATGAGAGCTATATCCAAATCTGAACCGATTTTAATATAATTTGACAAATGTATATTTGTTTTAATTTTCATTGAAATTAGAGATACATAGCGTGTTTGGTGCATCAAATACATGAAATCGGTCGAAAATATATATGGGAGCTATATCCAAATCTGAACCGATTTCAATTTAATTTGACAAATTCATTTTGGCTCCCAATTCCGTTACTTATTTTAAATTTCATTACAAGTGGAAATACATGTCGTGTTTGGTCCACCAAATACATGAAATCGGCCGAAAATGTATATGGGAGCTATATCCAAATCTGAACCGATTTCAATATAATTTGGGAAATCAATTTTTTAGATAAAATCTATCACACGTTTCAAATTTCATTGAAATTGGGGATACATAGCGTGTTTGGTGCATCAAATGCTTGAAATCGGCCGAAAATATATATGGGAGCTATATCCAAATCTGAACCGATTTCAATATAATTTGACAAATTTATTTTCGGATTAAATCCCGTCACACATTCCAAATTTCATTGGAATCGAACATTCATATTGTGTTTGAGGCATCAAATGAACGAAAATCGGTCGAAAATATATATGGGAGCTATATCCAAATCTGAACCGATTACAATATAATTTGGCAAACTTATTTTTGTTCCAAATTCCGTTACGTATTCCAATTTGGAGGCTGTATCTTCAACCAATCAATAGATATGGCATATAAAATCTAAATTTTTGGGGAGGTACCTCCGATTCTGGTGCTATATCTCCAGTTCCAAGTGGAAATTCAAAAATGTATATAGCCTATGTTACTTTCAGGCGATGTTGCAGTATATATGGAAATTTTGCAGGAAAATCTATTCAGCGGTTTTCGAGTCCATAAATTACAAACAAACAAACATACAAACATTTTCCTCTTTTATATATCTATATGTATGTAATATATATATATATATATATATAAGGCCCCCCAGCCCAAGAAAAATGTATTTAAAAGTCCATTGCTGGTAATAGAAATCAACATTGAATAAAACAATGCAGTATCGTTATATATCATTAACAAACAAATCGTTAACTTCCATTTGTCGCTGCAAAGTTTTCAAACATGCGGCGAAATCCATCGCTGAAAACAGATAGATTTATATAGAAATAAAACCACGCGTTGTTTAACAAATGCAAATTTACTATTGTATTAAATTCAAGCTTTCTTATTCTATAGAGGTGCTTTTAAATTAAGGAAATACAATTTTCTTAGATTATTATACATTTAAATGTTGAAGTAATTTATTAAGGCTTTGTAAATATTTTTATGTTTTGCAATTTTTTTTTCAAGGTAGTTTTTCGTTCAAATAATTTTGGTGTTTGTGAGTCGGTGTGTGTTGAGTTGAATACTGGGGTATTGGTTTTGCTTGTGGAGGTAGTATATTTTCCCCATGGCGATGTCCAGTCTTTCTGTGATGTACATGAGAGTTTGATTGGTCGCTTCTCTAATATAATTGTCCTTGGTGATTTTAACTGTAATTTATTTGTGTCTTCGAACTCTGTTTTGATGAGAGGATTATGCAGATCATTGGGGCTAACTATTGTGCATAACATGAAACCTACCCATTATGATTTGGCCCATAACTCTACCTCGTTAATTGATTTTTGCCTTATTAGTGATAATTTGTCGTTGGGTTTCTCGTCCTGGTATATCACACCTTGCCTTTGTTTTTGGTTTGCTTAACCTGACTGTATTTTTAGATTGTCTTTCGTTCCTGTTTCTGTTCGTAAGGTCAACCCCAGGAATGATGCATGGTTGGAATCTGATGTGGTGAAATCGGCACGGATGTTTAGAGATCTTGTGTACTTTAAATGGCGCAAGCGACCTACGGAGGGTAAGAGTATAATATATTGTATGTATAGGAATCGTTGTAAGGCTGTGATGAGGAATGAGAGGCGTAAATACTATAATGATTTGTTTGAATAATAATAATCAATTTCGTATAAATAATAATCAGCTGTGGAAATCTCTAAAGTCGTTTGGTGTTTTGGGTAGTGGTAATGATGCTCCGCCAATTGATGTCAATGGTGCTAATCATTATTTTTGCAGTGGGAATCTTGGTTTTGCGAGTGAGCGTGGTCAGTCTCTTCATAGTGGGGGTTATGCGGGAGATGATGGTTTTCGGTTTTATTGCATATTTTATTCTGATGTTGTAAGGTCATTGAACAAAGTTGAGTAGGGAGATGTGGGGTTATGTTTCCATAAAGCTCCTGTCATTTCCTGCATTTTGTTAATTCGATTTTTATGACGTCTACTTTTCCGCGGGCGTGGTAGGTTGCACGAGTAGTGCCTGTGCCGAAAACTGGTGAATCATTTGATTTGTCAAATCTGCGTCCCATTATCATTCTACCTGCTATGTCAAAAGTCGTTGAACATATTATTAAAGAAGCGATTGTTGACTTCCTTGATGAGTCTATTAGGTAGGCTATTGAGTAGTTCTCAGTTTGGTTTTCGGCGACGATGTAGTACGACTTGTCGGGTTATTATTGGGCCTTGAATTGTCAAAAGGCTTGTGATTCGATCAACCTTTTCTCTTTTAGTTGACGAGTTGAGGTTTAAGTTTGGTTTTTCATCTTCTGCAGATGATATTTTTTGATAAAATTAAATGTCTTGGTATTATAATTGATCGGAAGTTGGGCTTTAAGAGACACATTGATACCTTGCTTTGTTGCATAAGATTTCAGCTGCGGAGGCTGTATTGTCTTGACGCGTATAAGGCTTTTCATGTTAGGAAGAGAGTGGCTGTATCCTTGCTGTTGTCGCAGGTAAATTATTGTCTGGAGGTAGTCTCCGGCACTACTTCTTCTCAAATGCAACGTATCCGTAGGACAGTAAATTCAATTGTTCGTTACGTGAATGGCTTGCGTCGCGGTGATCATGTTTCTTGTTTTGTTAATGTCTCCTGGGATTGCCATTTAGCAGCTACGTTGATCTTCGTATTCTTCAATTTCATTACAGTGTTATGTGCAATTTTGACTCACCTCTTCGTGACGACTTTGTGTTTTGTAGATCATCTCGAAATTCTCAATTGTTGTGTCCAAGGTTTTCGTCCTCCATTGGTGAGAGATCCTTTGTTGTTAGGGCGGTGAGATTGTGGAACCCGCTTCCTTTAGCCTTACGTACTTTTGCCTATACCAATTATCTGTTTAGGTTTAAAGTAATTGAGTGCCTTCGCCTAAATATGTAGGCTATGTTTTTGTAGTGGTTGCGTCGGTTTATTATGGGTTTTTATACCCTCCACCATAGTATGGAGGGTATATTAAGTTTGTCATTCCGTTTTGTAACATCTCGAAATATACATTTTAGACCCCACAAAGTATATATATTCCTGATCAGCATAAAATTCTATGTCAATTTATTAATGTCCGTCCGTCTGTGGAAATCACTCTTCGTATAGCCCCCATATAACGGTACCTCCCGATATTCGGTATTTTGATGATCATTATTTACCGGAATTGTTTCAAATTTGCTATTTGAAGTTTGTAATAGATACTACAGATACTAATTAAAATCGATTGGTAGCAGAGTCCTACCTTGATTTCATTGTACCATGTCTCAGGGTGATTTTTCCTTTAAATCGTTACCGTAGCTACAATGGCTGTTTAGGGCGGTGGCAGTAGTGGTTTGCACGCAACTTGGTTTATTGTCATCGCTTTTGGAGCATATGAAAAAGTATAAGCTTACTAGTCATTTTTAATCGACTATATTTACTTAAGAATAGTTATTTGAAAATGGGAAGTATTGTTGTTTAACATCAAGTTTATTTTTCCAATGCTGCGATCGACAGGAAAGTCAACAAGTGATGCTGAACAATATATACAAGGTTCAGAAAATGTTGATTTTAATAATAACAAGTTAAAAAAGCTGTAAGTTCGGCCGGGTCGAACTTTGAATTCCCTCCACCATTTGGAACGAATTTGGCAATTTTCAAAAAAAAAAATCTGTTAATAAAAAATTCTGTTAATTAGGGTCTAAATGACGATGTATAGCCCCTATATAACGGTACCTCCCGATATTCGGTATTTTGATGATTTTAGCGACATTATTTACCGGAACTATTTCAAATTTGGTATTTGAAATTCGTAATGAATACTATAGCCTATGACAGAAAATTGTCTGTGCAGGTCCACGTCTTCGTATTGCGCCCATATAACGGTACCTCCCGATATTCGGTATTTTGATGATTTTAACGACATTATTTGCCAGAATTGTTTCATTTGTGGTATTTGAAGCTCGTAATGGATACTACAGCAAAAAACAGAAAATGGGCCATGTAAGACCACGTCTTCGTATAGCCCCCATGTAACGGTACCCCCCGATATTCGGTATTTTTATGATTTTAGCTACATTATAAACAGATTTTTTTTTCAAGTTTCGCATTTGAATATTGTAATAGCTTGTGACAAAAGTTGCCTATACAGGTCCACGTCGTCGTATAGACTCTAATATACGGCTACATTAGGTATTTTCAAGATTTTAACAGAATTTTTAACAGATTTTATTTTTTTGGAAAGTTGTTAAATTTGTACCAAATGGTGGAGGGTATTCAAAGTTCGGCCCGGCCGAACTTACAGCTTTTTTACTTGTTCCTTTTGTTGGGCTGTGGAACCACTATATTAATTAATTTAAATTATTTGTAGGGTGTTTTAATGTAAGTTACTAATTATACTCTGTTTAGTGAGTTTATATTATTACTTTGTAAGGTAAATAAATGAAATGAAAAAACAAGTAAGCAAAGGCTATAGTCGTGCGGGGCCGACCATGTGATAACCTACAACACTACAATATGTTAGAAGACCTCTTATGTCCAAATCTATTTTGGAAAAAATCTGTTTTTGGTTCATTCGAACCCCTAAATATTTTGCGATCATCTCAAATGCAAAAAAAAAAATGCAATAGCCCCCTCTGTATCTCAAATTTAGACTCATCTATATGATTTGCTTGTATACGATATGCTGCAATATTCGTCAATGAAAACCGCATAAAAAAAGCCAGAAGTTCGCCTTTTGTTTATTTCGGATATCGCCTGTAAGTAATGTTAGTATTTTTTCACACAAAAGTAGTGGTCCATTCTACCCGCTGTCCTAAACTCTAACTTCATGTGAGATTTCGTGTCCTTTGGTTTTTACTTGTGACCTTTATAACGGCTGCAAAATCAGGAAAATTTTTAGTTGTTGGTCAATTTCAACCCCTAATATGTTGCGGACATCTTTGAAAAAATAGGCCCAACCCTTTCTGAGCCTAACCCTACCCCTGTGAAAATTTTCGTGAGGATCGGACGATAATTGCAATCTGTATATAATAACCCCAACCTGTGTTGTAAGGTGAAAAAATATTATAGTTTTTGTAATATTTATATTTTCAATATTATAAGTCAAATTGCGATAAAAAATATGAAAAAATAAAAAAATGTCACAAAATATTACAAAATCTATATTAACTAAATTATTGATACCTTTTTATGCGTTTTTTTTAGATTTCATTCCTTTATGTCAAGAGGGCATTCTGAATTGACAAAGTTTGTCAAAATCGGTCCAGACATTCTTGAGACATAAGCATTCTACCTAACATCCTCTTCCTTTGTATATATGTATTGTACATATTTCGTTATATATATCCGATATATTTACTATCGGCATCTACTTAACGGTCAGAATTGACCTGTTCGTCTATTTGTGATTTCGCCGGCATTAAAAGTATTCGCGGTTTAATGGAAAATTTGACTTTTATTTATCACAAATGCTATGGTCTATTTCAACCACTAAATATTACCCGATGACCATCAAAATTTGAAGGCTCGGGCCATAATTGCGACATGTAGAGTGATTACAAAATAACATGGACAGGCGGACAGACGGATGGACGGACATACATAGCTAGATCGACTCAGCTCGGCGAGCTAGGAAGATCCATATATACTAAAGGGCTGCAAGTGTGACATATTTCTCTATTTATGCCATGGAGAGAAAACGCTCGTCATGTTGTGCCCTGTTTGATCAAACGCATAACAGTACGTGACATCCAACCAAATGCTCGATGTCTCGTCATGTCGGTCAGACTCAAACCTATCGTCATAACATGTAATGACCAATAAAAGGGGATGTTGAATAATGTGTCATACAAACATGTTCTATCGCAAAAATTACAACAATAATGAAACAATTGCCAACGAAAAAGACACACACGTAATGAAGGCAAAGCGCAATCGCTACCTGTTTTTCCGATATGTGAAAAAATACATTTTTTATAATAAAGTATTTCTTGGCGAATAATAACATATTTCAGGTACTTATAGTTGGTCCACACAAAATTTTTACATTTCGGTTATTGACGAAACAATCCAAAATGTCAATCCTTATTAAAAAAAACTGATAAATTTTCTTAATATCTCTGCCCTCAACTACGTTATAAATAATATTTTTTAATTATTGATTTCGTACTCACTTTAATGTACGCCGTGTTTGTTACTTCAAAATTACAGCACACACAAAAACACTCCCTCACCGTCGAAAGTAATACACACACACACTCTCTCAATATGTAAGCACACGTACACAAATGACACACAATTTGACGATGACACGGTTCGATGTCATCGTTGACACCCTGCATTTATGGAGAACACCATGCAAATATTCGAGTCAGCCTTGCCACGATCGAACCTTAGACAATGGCACACATGAATCGAAATGGGGGATGTTGTTGGTTGTCATTGTCTATCAAATACATAGCACATGATTGAATAGACAAAGTCAGTGTGTCAAAAAAAAAGCATAATTCATACAATTCGTCTTGTGCAGACCTTTAATATATACTTTCCTATGTGGGAAACCAATATTTCGTGGTGTTACATAATTTTTGGCCCAATCAAACTTATAATACCCCCAACACATAGTGTTGTAGGGTATAAAAATATAGTTTCATTATGAACTTCCAACCGAAAACAAGGTCTTTCGAATATTTTAACAGGTTATGGATCCAAATAAAGGCAATTTTCTGTGTCAGCGTGTTTTCAAAAGAATCAAGTGATGGTAGTAACCGCTTATAAAAGCGAAAAGTGGTACGTGGACTCAGGAGCAAGTGAGCAACAATTTGTCTTGGTTTCAAAACAATGTGTATATTCGAATCGGAAATGGAGATGTAATTCCTGCATATGGTAAACGAGACAATTTATTAGAAGCTTATGATGACATGGATTGGAAAACGAAGCAAATTCTTGGTGTTCTATACGTTGCATAGATAAAACTCTATTTTCATTGAATACATGTCTAAATAAGGGATATACAACAAAAGCAATGGGAAATCAATGTACGTTCTCTTGTATTGGATCAAAAGAGTACTTAGCCTTGTGACCTAATTCAGACAGATCTATGCGGACCAAAGCAAGAATTGTATTTCGTTGGGTTCCGATGTATGCTATTATTCAGCGATGGTTATTCAAATTTTGTGACGTGTACTGTATTAAAATGGAGTCTGAAGTTTCAGAAGTCATAAAAAAATATTTAAATCAAGTGAATGCATAGACTGGGAGAAAATTACGTAAAAGTATGTGAAATATTGAGTTGTTATAAAGGATGGCGCCTTGCAAAGCTGCAAGGGATATGCGAACTACACTGTAAAGGGCTATATTCAAGGTATTGGGTTGAAGTCGTGAACGTTGTATATACGCTAAACAGGACTGGTCGATATTACAATAAAAATAATCTTCCGTAACAATTATGGTTTGGAAGAGCTCTTGATATTAGAGGCTTACATATATTCGAATCAACATTACAAAGGAAAAAGGATGGAAATGGAATGCAAAATCAAAAAAAGCATTTTAAAGATTATGAAGAAAATTGTAAAGGATATGGCATATATATACCAGAGGAAAAACGAATTGTAATATCTCGAGATTTATTTATTTGAGATGATAATCATAGCATACTAATTAGTAAGCAAAATAAATAAAGCTTTAATCAAATAAAGGGAGGAAACTGGTTCAGCATCTGAAATAGATCGAGATGGAAATTCTGAAGATTATATTCGGCCAAACTAGCAAGAAGTCTTGGAATCTATTGAAGAAGTTTGAGGCCAATCACCATCCCCTAAAAAATAACGGACAACATCCTCATAACCTTCGGTAAAAGACATTTAGGGAAATTTATATGTTCTAAGCGTTCATAGACGAACAAGATGAGCCGAGCACCTATGAAGATGCTATTTCATGGCAGCTTTTTTATTTGAACGTTCCCACGCCTCACATTCCCACCCCTGCCGACCGAGGGGGTGACCTCCCATTACGTAGGGATCGTGTACACATCATGATCCGCATCATAATGGGAATTTAGTAGGAAATTGAAAACCAACTACACAATCTAATTCATCAGCTAGTTGTAAAATAATAAAACATGTATTTTAACTGTTGAAAAATAAAATTATTCTAGAGCATAGCATACTAATTAGTAAGCAAAATAAATAAAGCTTTAATCAAACAAAGGCTATTGAAAATAATGCTCAAAGGGAGGAAACTGGTTCAGCATCTGAAATAGATCGAAATGGAAATTCTGAAGAATATATTCGGCCAAACCAGCAAGAAGTCTTGGAATCTATTGAAGAAGTTTTAGGCCAATCACCATCCCTTAAAAAATAACGAACAACATCCTCATAACCTTCGGTAAAAGACATTTAGGGAAATATATATGTTCTAAGCGTTCATAGACGAACAAGATGAGCCGAGCACCTATGAAGATGCTATTTCATGGCAGCTTTTTTTATTTAAACGTTCCCATGCCTCACATTCCCACCCCTGCCGACCGAGGGGGCGACCTCCCATTACGTAGGGATCGTGTACACATCATGATCCGCATCATAATGGGAATTTAGTAGGAAATTGAAAACCAGCTACAGAATCTAATTCATCAGCTAGTTGTAAAATAATAAAACATGTATTTTAACTGTTTAAAATAATATTATTCTAGACTTAATAACTTCTAAACTCATTCCAAAATCTACATTACAGTACACAGAATTAAAGTCAACACACATTTTACTAAGAGGTTCACCCATTGAATAATTCGTGCGGTGAAAATAAAATTGGTAGTATCTACTAGATCTAAACGGAACATTAATTCTAATAGATGAGATTAGGAAATCTGAAGGTATATTACCATTTAATATTCTTAGTGCAAACATGGAGTTTAACATAATACGTCTGCTTTTAAGTGTAGACAATCTAATTAATTTTAGCCTGCTTGCATAAGAAGGCAAAACAAAATCACTATTCCAATGTAAACCTCGTAAGGCAAATAGCAGAAATTGTTTTTGCACAGATTCTATTTTATCTGAGTATATTGAGGATCCCATACAACAGAACCGTATTCTAATATAGAAGAGAGACAAGAGACGTAAATAACTGTTTTGTTATATATGGATCAGAAAATTCTTTGGCCCACCGTTATTGTTATTACATGGCTATTAAATTTAATTTTGGATCCATCAAGAGGCCAAGATTGACAAATAAATCTACAGTTAATAATTAATGACCGTCAATATTATATTGCAATATCAGAGAAGAAGATCTGGAATAAGTGTTTCAAAGAGATGTTATTTAAATTCAAGTTTAAAGTAAGCACTGCAGATGGTTGCGTTTTCAAAGGAGAAATCAACAATTGATGATGCTATAATAGCTGCAGAAGCGGCAGAAAAATTATATAAGCGAAGAAGAAACGATTCAACGATATCAAGGAAAATTTAAACATTACGAAAAATATAATATAAATAAAAGTGAAATGGTTGAAGTATTTTCTGGGTAGCTCTTTTAACAATTTTATCTCTTATCAAATCCTGGTAGGATTTTATAAGGTACTGAGATGTGGTGAGCCTGCATCTTTAACTAATTTTTTTTTCTTTTCACATTCATCCAGAAACCCTCACATGAAAATGTTTTTTATGTAGCCTAAATCGACAATTTAGTTTACTTCATATGAAGTATATGTGAAAAATTATTTCCATGTTGATGCATTTTGTGAGTGTCTTGACTATGAAAATGTTAAGACTTTGTGGGGTACCAGCATGGCATAATAATAGAGGTAGAGATGATAGTGTTTATATTCGCGGTTGTAAGATTCAGAAGATTATACGAAGGAATTTTAGTTTAATTTAATTCTTTGATCCCTCTTCTATTGAGCATACGATCTCGTTACTTGGGTAAAAACAGTTTTTTGTCATTTTGTCATATCTTAAAATAAATCCTGTGGAGAATGTCCCAGACAAAAAGCAAGGGAACTGATAAGGATTGGTGGCTCTTTCCGAAACTAGGCATTCCCTGCTTACCCCTTGGTAAACATTACCATCTTCCTCCACTAATAACACAAACGTTGTTTGTCTAAAAACAACAATAACGAGATTAAGCCAAAATATTTTCCAACAACAAAATACTACGATATTCCGAACAAACATGCCAACACTGTTATACAATTTGTTTTCTTTTTGTGCCCCATTATGTCAAAAGATTGATAGGTAGATAAATAGATTGATATTGCTTTGAAAAATAAAGAAAACAACAAAAAACAATTGCCATTTGCAAGAAAAAATTTCAACTAAGCACAAATTACTGCTTTAAAATCTTTTTTACAATATTTTTAAACATTTTCTGCGGACAAAATATTTGACATGACAAGGTTGCAAGATGAGGTTGGATTATTCGAAATCCATTTTATAATTGAACGAAAAGTACAAAAAATTATAGTACCCTTAATATTGAGCGATTGGAAAATGATAGAGTACTTAAAATGTGTACGTAAGGTTTACGGGAAAAAAACTCAAAGTTCCTTAATGTGGTACATGTATCGATTTTGCAAATGAGTCTACCCCAAGTCCTAATATAGTTAAAATTATCTGATCCTTTCTGGAAAGGTTGCTGTTCTCATTATTTGGTAATACTTCAAAGACATTTTTTCAGATAAAATTATGAGTTGCATAACGTATAATTAATGTATGTCGAAAATATTTTCATTCTTCGGTGCTGTTAAGGGGAATTTTGTGGCATGTTAAAGGGAATTTTATGAATGGTATCCAAACTATATCTAGCTTTTGTTGGTTCTTCTATGTTATTGCAAGCGGTAATGATGATTGTTTATGTTTTTTATAGACTCAAGAGAAGACAGAGTCTTCTCTTCTTCTATATGACCAAATTTCCTCTCATATGATGTATTACATTTAGTTAGTCGCATTCAGGTTAAATTGTACACTACACTAAATGTAGTTGTTTTCCCGGATTTGAAACAAGTACAAGTACTACAAGTATCCTAAAATAACCTAATGGTACTAAATTGGACATAAAGTTTGGGAATATAGTCAGTTTTTCGTGCCAAATACCAAAATGTAAATTTTTGAAATAAAAATAATTGATTGAAATTATTTTGTTTTGTTTACCTGACAAATTACTCTCATACTAACATAACTTACAATAACAAATTTCTTTGTGATTGTCATGGTAGAATTTTCTATGCAGTGAAATGGGTATGCCTATTTGAAATAACTTTACCTTCTTTATTTTACCATGGTGGTCGTAGTTAAATTATATTTGTTGTTATGTAAGTTACAAGGCTCTATAATCAAATTCAATCGCTCCACCCTACCGTGTAATTGTTGTACCATAAATTGTACTAAATTTGGTAGAAAAGTACTAAATTCGGTATAGAGTGTGGGAACAGATCTTTTAGATGAAGAGGTGGTCTTGAAAATGAGTAGTATATATTGCATGGAAAGTACAAGATGGTATTTTATTTGATTCGGTATTATTCATTTTAATCAATTTATTGCGCCACTGCTATTCATAAAGTAATAACTCACTATTTTTTTCAGTGTAAGTCTTGCAGACTTCCATTATACTATCGACATGATCCAAATTCTGAGAATACATTTATCTTTCACCATGCGCTTGTGAAAACTAAAAATGACATACACCTTAATCTGGAACCACGCACAGCAAAAACTCAAACTGTGGGCGAGAGTGAAAAGGTTATGGTAACCAGACATACGAAAAACATGGGCAAATTCAGTTCGGTAACAGTGTCAACAATAGACGAAGAAGAAGATGAGATCGAAGCGGTATGTCCACTTACAATATACATGTACACCAGTATTATAGTATATTTACCTTTATCTTTGCAGCGTGAAATTGCCGACAGCTATGCTAACAATGCTCGAATTATCGAAAAACAACTTCAACGAAAAGGCGGCAAACTTTCTGATTTGGGAACCAGGAACAAGCTAGATGAAGTCGTCCCACCGAAAAAGCCAAGAGGAACATTATTAGACATTTAATGAAAAAAATTAGATAAATTTTGTAAAAATATGTGAAGTCTTGTTCACATCATTCTTTTTTTTTTTTTTTTTTGTTTATTTACTCCAAAAATTAAATAAGCAAAATAATCGCCCTTATTACGGTCGGCGTTGTCGTAGGCGTTCATGTGTCGTAGACGTAGTCGTAGGCGTTGTCATAACTATTTTTTTTTGGTATTATGTACAATTTTCGAATACGTCTTTTATATAATAGATGTTAAAAAGCAGGGTGCTTTGCAATAACAAACATTTGTAGAATTTACGAGATACCCGGAAAAATAAATAAAAGCGCCAGTTGAAATGGTTGAAGTAAAACTATTATTTGTTAAATTAAATATTGAAACATGTTAAGTGTTGGCATTTTTTATCTGAGGATGAATATGAATATATTCAAAATGATTTTAGCGTCAGGCGAAACATATTGCGGCAAAAGTTTAACATATTTTCCATTCCTGATTCCCAGAAAGTAAAATGAGAAAGAAGCTAAAATAAATAATTTTTTCTTTAGATTTGTTAGTTACTTCAGGCTTAGTAAGGATGCATTCAAATATGTTTTGGCCCAAATCACTCCAGACCTTCATAGCCGGGTAAAATCTACAAGTGTACTAAACATACTAATACTAGTAACAACAATTCGAATCAGCGATGCCAACTTAGTGCTTTTCGCGCTATTTATGATGCTTTTTAGACAGAACACCCCCCCCCCCCCCCCCCCCCCCCCCCAATAAAAAAATTCTTTACGCGTCTTTCATTCCTGTCATTGACGTTCTTTTGTTTACATGTAACTCTTTTTAATAAACCAAAATAAAACGAAGAATTTTGTGTATTATATACCAATTGAAGCAAAAATAAAATGAACGAGAAAAAAAAACGCGGATGTCATTTCTAATATGGAACTAAGTAGTGACAATAGATAGATCTGGATAGAAGTAAACGAGTTCAAAGATTCCATAGGGCAAAATCCCTTTCAAGATTTATCAGAATTCGTTTTAAACTGTTAATCTTCCCATACTCAAATGCAGAAGTAGAAAGAGCATTCAGTGCTATGAATTTATATAAATCGAAAATCAGAAACAGATTATCCTTAAATTCTATTTTTCATATTAAATATGTCCTTCGTCGGGAGAATACGTGCTGCGACAAATATGACCTGTCGTCAAATGTCTGTAAAAAATTTCTAAACAGGAAGTTTACAAATAGTCAAACTATTTTTTACAAAGTGTCTTATGGCAAAATGAAGAAGAAACTGATGCAGATATTTCAACTGCATTTGAAGCTATGGGTTTTATAGGTGAACATAATTGTTTGTAAAAATGTATATGTCTGTAAGTTTTAACCACATGTAAAATGTTCCTAATATATCATATTTATGAAAAATATGTATGCACTTATATACATGAAATGTTTATACAAGATGCGATCTAAATTTTTGAATAAAGCAGTATTTAGTTTAAAAAAGTGTTTATTGACAATTTTGGTTAGAAAAAAATACATAGCGCTTTTTAGGAAAGTTTTTATGCCATTTACGCTTTTCTGGTTTTTATTACGCTTCTAGCTCTCAAAATGTTGGCAACACTGATTCGAATACTGGCTGAAGGAAGTTATCAAAAGGGCGCTGCAACGATTATCATGTCAGTTTATCACAGTCTGTCAGCAATGTGTTCCGCGAGTGCATAGAAGTATTGCATAATAAGATGTGTCCAAATTAAATCTCATTTCCCACTACAGAAGAAGAGAAATATGAAATTAAGGAACATTTTTTAAACAATATTGGATTTCCTGGTGTGATTTGAGTTTGTAGTCGGCCCATCCAGGCCTCGCCTATTCGGGCCGGCGGTCCTAGGATGTTGAGTTTTGCACCAATTTTGTTTCATTCTTCCCTGATGTTAATTTCAAGCCATTGCTGTAACTCCTAGTCAAATTTGGATTCATTTGCAAGATCTGGATTATTATGTCAAGTTGTTTCTTAGTTGTGACATTAAATCTAAAACAGCGAAATGTTATAGATATACATATATTTTTGTAATGTATACTTTCTTATTCAAATCCATTTTGTATATTATTTATTCTTTTGTAATGCCAATTTAGAGGAACTTTTGTGTGCTGTCGGCAACAAAATCTCTAACGACAAATTTTGCAGCGTTTGTCGAATTAGAAGGTCCTTGTGGTACGAAAATTATATATTATTTTATAAAAAGTAATTATTTTTAAAATTGTTTGTTCCAAAATGGCCATTTGTACATAAATTGTTCACATATCTATTAAAGCCATAATACGCTTAAATTGTATATTAAGTCATTTTAATCACAATAAATAAATATTTCTTTGAGCTTTAGATCTGGGTTTTTTTCTTTGGAAAAGGTCGATTAAAAAACAAACTTGAGTCATTTTAATCAGACAAAAATAATTTTAATTTTAACATACTTTTTGCCAGTCTCTAATCGGTGACCCGTTTACATTTAATTTTGTAGCAATGGATTCCAATCTGATTTAAAATTAGCTGGAAAATTACCTTTGGTAAACCTTTTTGCCAAATATGTTTTTTTCCAATTCGGAAACCAACATTTTAAATTGTTTTGCTGTTGTTATTTTCATGGTCAAATATAAAATACAAAAAAGTTACAAGATCTACGTCAACTAAAAAATACAATGTCGTCAAAATTTTTTACGGCGACAGATTTTCTTAAAAATCGACTTCACGTCGACTGTTGTATCGACAATTATAATAGCAATCATTTGTCGCTATCGACAAAAAACGACAACCCTAACATCACTATAGTCGCCTCGACTTCATTTTGAGACGCCGACGACAACCATAATAGGGCCGATTATTTCTTACTATTTACAAAGGTTGTGTTTCTACTATTATCTTTTTTTATTTACAATGGGTTTGTTGCTACTATTATCGACTACAGCTCGGCCAACCTGACAATAGTGACAGCCCCGGTCACATGGGGATTGAGTTAATCAAATGGGCAATGTATTGAAACTATTGGACTACATAGTTACTCTACTCAATCTAATGCTATATACACTACGGGACAGAACAATCCTGGGTCTCTACAATTTCATATTACATCTTCCATAATTTCATATTACAAGCATGATCTAGTATAGGTCCCCCTTCCAGCTCAGCCGATTACCAAACGATCTGTCCGAGGTAGGTTTAACAGGTAACCGCATCGGCGAATTGCTACAACCAAGGTAGATCTAACAGCTAACCGCATCGGCGAATTGCTACAACAAAGCAACTTTGTGGTACCCTCAAATGTCAAAATTGGCATCTAAGGCGAAAAACATAGATTCGCCATGACATTTAAAGGTTGCGGCAAATTTGTTTCAACCAATCAGAAACGAGGTGGTGCCGATAATATCTATCGCATTTGGGACAAAACTATCTTGGCAACGCTGGAAATTCATCCTATGACTTAGCTCCATGCCAGCCGTAAGGTGTTTGAAACCCGTTTAATCAGCGCTACCATTCTCAAGAAAATCTTGAATGCCATCAAAGATTTGCTAAATGACGGAAGATTTGGTAAATTGCACGATAGCACATGCACTAAAAACGATGACTATGAGGCATTTAGTGGTGTTGGTTCGGCCAATGTTAAATTGCACAAACTTCAAGTGTGGACAAAGTAGATGCGGCAGTCATTATTGAAATGCAACAGGATTTATAGACTCAAATGCCTATATGCCGCCGTTCCGGAACTGCAAATGGCAAGAGTCGAATTATTGCACTACTTCCCGTGATGTGCTTTATATTAAAATGGTCCATACAGATCTTAGATGTTCACCTTTAGGAACACTAAATAGTGTTAAATTTCCATCACAATATTTCTTATTGCAAATCGAGCACTTTTCATTTTCTTTTAATTTTTTACTGGTTTCACTCTAAACTTGCTCTTAAATTATTTGAAATATTATATAAAGGTACTTTTGGGGAAGAAAACATAAACAAATTTGTTGTTGCATTCATTTAGGGCGAATTCATCATTACAACAATTAGTTTTGACATTTAATGGTGCCGTCAGCTGGGCTGATGCGATTACCTAGTACATCTACCTTGGTTACAACCAAGCAACTTTTGTGTTACCCTCAAATGTCAAAATAGGCATCTAAGGTGAAAAACATACATTCGCCATGACTAATGTGACCATTTATATTTTTCGTCAGAGCGGGACGCCTGCGGAATTTTGTAAAAAAAAAAATTATGCATTTAAAAACAAATTTTATTCAAAAACGGAGAGAATACGTATAAATCTAATTTATGAAATTAATCTTATGTCTAAGTATTCGTTTTATATTTGTCAGCAGAGCAAATAAGTTTTAAAATATCGGGTCTAGTTTTCAAGTAGGAATGGAGCTGATTACATTGTTTGTTGATGTTAGTCTTAGAACTGCGTTTTTCACTTGTCCATATTTTATTCATTAGGGAAAAAACTCTTTCGACAGGTGCGTTACTTCCAGGCATACATAAACATACTCAATAATTGTGCGAAAGTTTGTGCAGTTGAGATTATTAGCACGGAAGTGTTTAAACAGCTCCACCCAACGGTCTTCAGTAGCAACATTCTCATCGTTTCAGCTTTTGATTTTTTCAACTGTGACGTAACTGGAAATAAGCGAAAACTCATCGAACACCTCCGTATCTTGGCTACTGCTAAGAAATCTTTGTGTGATCAGCAAATCCGTCACATTCTGTACGTCTTCCCAAGTAGGGACTTTTCTCAAATTTGACCATTCAAATACTGCTAGTTGTGCATTGAACTGGCACCACTGTTCCAAGTATTCTTTACTTGTCTTATAAAAATCCGCTGCCGCAGTTTCACATTCTGCTCATCAACAGCAACGTCAGTTTTTTGTAATTTTACCAGTAGATTGCGGACGGAATGAGGAAGGAAAATCGAATTCTCTTTAAGTTCTAAGTTATCTCGGAGACGATTAATTTCATTCGCAGACTCTATTGCGGACACGTTGTGTCCCTCGATTTTCAACACGGAAAAATCGCTGTCTGTGCGTGCAAAAAATATAACCACAATTCAGAGCTGGGATTTTCGAAAAATGTTTTTAAAATAGTAGGGCATTTATCTATGCTCAGAAAATAGGTTTTCAAAGGCTGAAACATTTTTAAAATTCTCTCAAGCGCCGGCATTAAAGCAAGCCACCTTGTTTTACTGTAGCCCAACAGTTTCTGATACTCTGTGTCGGTGGAATCACAGAACTCTTTCAGAACTTCTACCCGAATGCTGTAGATGTAGAAGAATGAATAAATTTTCACAATGATACATTCGAAGTCAACAGGGAGACAATCT